AAGGTGTAGTTACAGAGGTGAAGAAGAGGGAGAGCAGAAGTGAAGCTAAGGAGGTTGCTGTTGAGGTGTTGCCTGAAACGGAGGAGGGTAAGCAAGGAAATGTGGATTTAAAGAAAATCATTGACAGGGAGGTGGAGGTTTGCAAGCCTTTGGGTTTGTTTTTCTGGGGAGGAGAGGCTTTTGCTAGAAGATCTTTTGAAGAATTTAAGAGGGGATGGTTGGAAGAGAGACTTAAGAAGGCCATAGTATGGGAAGGGGAAGAAATATGGAAGGTGGGCAGGAAGAATTTTTTAATGGGGAGGTTTGAATGTGGAGGAGTTACCAGGGGATGGCTTTTGGTGCTTGTAAGAAGGGACTCTCGTTTAATTTGTTTTTTGGTTTGCTTTCAGTTTCGCTGGAGGGTTTGCATTTAGCTTGTTTTTGAGGTGTTATCATAGCACCTGTTAAGTGGTTGTAATCAGTTTTTCTTTCTCCTTTTATTAAAATTTTTCTTTTACTATAGAAAAAGGTTGTCATGGGTTGGCTAAGAGAGAACCAACAAATTTCTTGGCAATAAAGATGTGATGATGGAGATCTTGCACCTATCGTCTTATCCCACTTTTACATTCATTTGGACACAAAGAACAACTAGCAGTCTGGCAGATCTGATGGGTAAACAACAGGCAAATAGGGCACAATTGTTTTGGGGAAACGTACAACAATGATACAAAAGAAAAAGGGCTTGGACAGCTCTGCTAATCCTACATTACTTGTAAACTACTATTTATACATTATTCTTTTCCTATAATTAATAAAATTGCCAATTGTTGACTATCAAAAAAATAAATGTGTGACTTGTAGCAGGCTTTATTCCTTGTTTTGTTTTAGTTGTTTTCCACCACTAAGTCATTTTATCTTTTCTTCCTGGTTATTCGTATTCCTTATGCTGATACAGCAGAGAAATTCGTTGTATCAGTTTTTTTTTTTTTGATTAGTAAAAGAGAATTTCATTAAGATGAGAAAAGAATACAGGTTATGAGTAGCCTCAGCTACCCCACTAAAACTTAAGATGCCACCTATCACTTTTGATTTTTCATCCTTACAACTGAGCCCAAAAAGACTGATCCCTGTTTGCTCCTTGTTTTTCTAGCTGGTCTAGAATCCATTTGCCGCTCTTGGAGTCCACTGAAATAATAACTGCATGTCCTTGGAGGGATATTTTAACCTTCTTGGTATCATTTCTAAACAGCCAGGGTATCTTTTCAGTTTGCTTTAGCCAGCTAATCGCTACTTTGGAGTCATCTTCCACAACAAGCTTTCACACTCCCAACTCCTTAGCTTTTTGATTCCCAAAGACCACACTGTTAGACAGTTTTGTATGCCCTTAGCTTCAATCAGAATGATGTACATTATGAGTTTATTGTAAATGAATAAAAGTACATATTTGATTCATGTTCCCTTGGTATGTTTCTGTGTAATACCCTTAAACTGGACACTTAATGAGACTCGTGTTAGTTTAGAATGTTCAC